GGCCAACCCTAACAGCCAGGACTTCCCAGAAGGGCACAACCTGCTGTGCACAAGGTGATGTAGCTGTATTTTTCATGGGTTCCCTGTCTGAAAGCTTTAAGTGGCTTGTTCTCACATTTTGTTGTGTCCAAACTGAAGTAAGTCGTATCAGTGATTTACATTTCTAAGAGCACAGATACCAACATTCCTTGCAAGCTGGGACACTTAAATTCATTAAAGGTGGGAGAATAAAGGATAATCATCTCAGCTACAGCTACAGCTACATGGCAATAACTTGGAACAAATTTTTGGGTATGACTGTAAGGAAATATTGGTTTAAATGCTTTCCCTGCAGCTTTGAATGACAATGAGATTGAGAGAGACTCTGAAATAGTCGCATAACTTGAACTGCAAGCAGCAACTGATAAGGAAACTGGGGCAGAGGGAATGACTCAGTTGGCTGTGGTGCAGTCACAAATCCACATGGGGCTCTGGAAATGTTCATCCGTGCCAGTGATAATGCACCAACCGCAGAGATGCTTATGACAGTCAGAGAAATTTGGAGAGCAGTAATGAAAAATAACCAATGCAATAAACCACTGGGAACTTCAGAGTCAAAGGCCACAAAGGACAGCGTTTTGAAAATAAAAGGAAGAAAAAGGACTGAGAGGATCTTTGATCTAAAGGCTTCTTCCTGCAGGTTTTATCTTTCCAGACACAAAAATACAAGGCTTATGTCTATTCCCTTGAGAACTGAACAGCACGTCAAAGAGGAAAGAAAGTGAGAGAAAGCCTTCCAAGATAACATTAAATCATCATAAAAATGCATGCATGAATGTTACAAAGAAAAAAAAAAGCATATATCTTAAAAATCAATATGCAAAAGAAATCTAACCAAACAGGGAAAAAAGAAAAAAGCTGTAATTTGTGCAGTGACTGGACAGAATAAGATAGATAAATAGACACTGCCAGCCAATCTTCTTTTGTAAGATAACAATTTCGTATTTCTTTTTTCAACTAAGTGGCCCCTAATCCTGACAGATGACAAATCAGTTCTTGCTCATCCTCTTTTGGGGCTTCATGGAAGTATTTTCCATTCTCTTTTCTTTTCAATGGCTTTTTTCAATGTATTTGCTGTATACATAACCCAGTCTTTAGGGGCCAATTACAGAAAGCAGCATCGAAATGAACTTCAACCTCGCACCTCATTTCACAGTTCTAATGGCAATTGCCCATTTCTCCCTACAGGGAAGAGGTGGCTCTTAAATCGTATTTGAGACCTGACTCGGAAAATCAGAAACTCTAACTCAGTCAGTCACACTGCATCTCTAGCAGGGGCAGCGAAGACAGAGGCTGAAACCTTACCTATCCCCTAGCTGATTTGGCACCAMCACCCAAACCAATGTACATTAGATATCAGGAACTCATATGGAAGCACAAGAAATGGAGAAGTTTTGTGGGTCCTTCAGACTCCAGAAACCACACTCCTCCTCTTGGTATCAGCCTGGATAATTTTATTTCTTCAGTATCTACTCATGTGCTCTCACATGGCCTGCTCTACCATCCTGGAAATTCTGGCTTGTCTTTGCATGCTTTGCCTCAGGTTTTTGGCAGCCACACATGTGTGCAAGTTTCTCTCAGCTCTGCTTAGACTGCCAGAGGCTTGAGGGTGTGGCTGAAAATCTTGGGCTGGGAGCTACAAACTGGAGAACTTCATGAGGCATGAGACCCTGTGGCCTCCCCTCTGTGGCATGTCCCCCACTCATCACATTTGCTACTGACCTGTMTGTGAGGATACAGTGACTGAGATGTAGCCCTGTGGACCCTCACATGTGCTAAAACTCCCCCCAAAAAAGCAGACTGGATCAAACTGAATGAGGTGAGCAAGCTCTTCAGTGTGTGTCCTGGCATCCTGAGAGCAAATACCAAGATTTGCAGGACTTTCTGTGGAGTAGAATTTAACCTAAACCTTGCAGAGGGTGGAATGTACATCCCTCCTCATCCGTGTGCTGAATGGAGGGAGTTGTGAGCCCTCTTATTTCCTCAGCAGGAAGCAGCAGTGTGTGGRCCAGTATAGATCATGGATATCCATGCATGGTTATTTATTAAATATTTATTTATTAAATTATTAACTATTCTCACTAGTCCAAATTCAACCTCGAAAACATTCAGCTGACTCYTCATCTTCTGCCTAGCAGCGTGTGCATGACTGTGGAGCTGGGTCATTCCAGGGCAGGGAGGGTTTCCCATCTGCATGAGGGATGATCTCACTGCATCTCCGGCTCTGCACCGTCCTTGCGTCCTCTTCAAAAGCAGCACACGGGGGTTCAGAGAGAGACAAAACTCTGACTGCACTATTTAGGTGAGTAACGCTGCAGGCAGGGGCTTAGTGGTGTTTCCAGGAGCATTTCTGCTGAATTCCAGCACCCACTTGGCTCGGGGGCTGTAACAACCCTGGGCAGCCCCAGCAGCCCTGAGCACACACCTGAGTGAAACTCCTCTGCCACCGGGCTGGACCTGCTGCAAGCCCAGGTTGCAAACACATTAAAAAAAACAACAGAGATGAGGAGACAAAGGTGCTCAAAAGCTGTAGGGTGCCCCAGAATCACCCCTCTGCGCCTAGTGCTTTGCAGAGAGCAGAGCTTGGGTCTCCCATTGCTCCAGCTCTCAGATTGTTTATTTCTAGGCAGGTAGCATCTCCTGAGTCACCCTTGACCCAGGTCTTCTTCCCTGACTTAGGTGTTGTGCGCAACCTAATGGAAGCATTTATGATCAAATCCCTTCCTTTGAGACAGGTCTAATTTGTTTTTTACCTCCCATTAACATCATTCATGCACTTACTAAGATTAAAAGGCAACATCAAGCGCTCCTTCACTCCTGTACCATGACAGCTTTAGTTCTTACTGTGTTAGGGACTTGGAAGTATTATAAAATCTTCTTGGCAAAAGGCAGGATTTGCTATCTGATTTGAGTGGGAAGAAGGAAGATTTCACACCGGTTGGGGGGGGTTGGGGGTCCACCTTCCCAGCTGGCCTCTAATTATAAGTATGCAAATCCCTCATTTCTCTGACCAGACTGCACATTTTAAAAGCTTTGGGTTTGGTTTTTTTTTGGGTTTTTTTTTTTTGGGTTTTTTTTTTTTTTTTTTTTTTTTTCTGTAATGGGTTTAAGAGCTTAACTGATGTACAAGGTACAGTGCAAAGCAACTCTGTGTTACATGTGGAGTTATCTTACTGCTCTCTCCACAGGCTAAAATGAAAGAAAATAGCACAGCTGATTACAGACTTTAGCTGTATGTTTACATACCTGGGAGCAACTTGGGATCTATCTCTGTACTTTATAAGTGTCGTTGTTTAGCTTTGTGTTTTGCAATGGGTGGAAAGCAGAAGCCATTCCGAAGACCTCTCTGCTAGGAARGTTTTTCTTGTCTATTATTAGCACTCTGCTTTTGCAGCAAGTGCTCATGAGCCAATATGCAGMGTTTTAAAGGACTTCAAAGTGTCATTGGGAACCAAGTGATATGTGTGTTAAAAAGGGTTTAATGGAGCTGCAGTCACTGTAGCACAGTGTCTTTTTATAGCAAGTTTTTACAGCGTTAAGAAAAACATCCTGCAGATTTCAGTAGGATTGGCATATGGATAAGGTACTTTGCACTATGATTTTTGTTTATCTGCTATTAAAAAAAAAAAAAAAGAAAGAAAGAAAAGGAAATCCAGCATTGATAGCTATAGGGAGAATGATAAGCAGAAACTGTTCTGCAAAACACGGGCAACAGCTATTACCTTCATTTTGTGTGTAATTATTTTTTATATTTTTCAAAGGAAAGCATACATTTGAAAGCAAATGGCCTGGCTTAAAGAATAGAGATATAGAGTGATTTGTATTCACATTGAAGATTTTATAGTCTTCTCTTTTATCCCCCAGAGCCACTGGATTATATTATCATTAGCACAAGGCAAATCCTGCTTATCAAAGTTGAGGTAAACTTCCTGGGACTGTCTTTAAAAAGTCATAGGGGAGGCTTCCAAGGAAGAAGTGGTTAGGAAAAAAATACATTAAATATTGAGGTGGATCTGATCCGTGTGTGATGATGTAGGTCTGCAGGAATTGGCTGCGAACCACTGATTGTAATACATTCTCTAGCTTTCTTTTTACAACAACATTTATAATTTTTTTTTTTTTTCCACAACACCATTTTAATTATTCCTGGGAAGCATGAAGGGATACCTGATGAGACAGGCTCCTCATAATCCTTTAGCAACCCATGTCAACAGCCTGCCCACTTCTGAAAGAAACAAGACAAGGAGTGGAAAGGAAAGATGAGTACCCATTGCCCACTGTGAGAGGAAGAGACTTGCCTGGGTTTTAGCGAAAGCCAGGGGCAGAGGTGGGACCCAGCTTTGGCCATCCAGTGCCTCAGCCCTAAATCACCTCCTTATAGCCATCCTTGCAACCACAGGCTCTGGGATGTTGCTGTTTGGACTTGTTCCACCTCTGAAGTCACATCATTTAAACATATTTTGCTCTCTGCTTTTGCTTCAGGCTGGGGAACGACTGGTTTATGCCTTGTCTGCGGGATTAAAATAATAGAGTCGGGGAAACCTTTAGCTGTTGTGACTGCCAAAGCAAGAACAGCTCAGGATTTCTCAAGGCTCAGAAGCAGCTGGGGGCTGCAAACAAGTGTGCTCAAAGCTGATGGGAGCAGGGGTTCAGCTCCCAGTGCTGCTCTCACCCTGGCAGCTGTCTCCCATCCCCATGGCTCAGTCCCAGCAGAACTAAAGCCCTGGCAAAACCCCAGCATGGCAGCCCTGTCCCTCCTGCCCCTGCAGCTCCGTCTTGAGCAGCCTCTTTCATTTTTCACGCTCAGTCCTCCCAGCGGAAACCCTGGTCAGAAATTTTACAGAAGCAGTCAAAGAGATGTTTTTTTCCTCTTCTGCGGAGGAGGGCAGAGGAGCGACAGCACAGGGGGGAAGGGTTTGTGGAGTTGGTTTTTTTTTTTTTCTCCCTTTTTGCAACACAAGTTGTTCAGGGGAGTGTCTTGTGTTGTTAATGCTGAGTGGCTCCGGCAGCTACTGTGGTTCAAGGTCGTTCGTCATCCGCTGCTGCTGCAGGAGACRCGGCAGCGCTGAGCCAGAGCCCTTCATCCAACCCTCTCGGTCCTCCCTGGCCAGCAGGTTGGGAAGAGCTGCTCATGGGGCAGCGGGGTCGCRTGGGGGTGTGGAGAGCAGCCTGGGCCCACAGGGGCATCCTCYCAGTCTGGTTATGGGGTGCCCAGGTCTGTGGGACCCGCTGGGTTTAATGGGTGGCAGGGCTGGAGAGGGGCTGAGGGATGGGAGAGCGATGTGTGAGTGTGGGATCCTCCACACATCCCGTGAGGGGGCAGATGTCTGTGTCCCCACCTGGCAAGCTGTCCCTGCATTATTTGCAGCTGTGCAGGCATGCCAGCCTCCCTTCGAGCTTCACAGATGCAGGATTATTCCCTGAGAGTTAAAGGAATACAGGTCCACATGCATCCTTCCAGCCTGATTTCTTCCTTGTTTTCCTTCCTTAGGATGAAGGGGTCTAGGCAAACATTCCTTAATTTATTCTGCATCCTCTGGCTCTTGCTTCTGCTGAAGGCTGCCTCTTCCTCCCCTCTACCCCGTGGAAAAGACCCACGACCCCCTTCGCTCCCYTTTGGGCTGTACAAAGGACACACCTGTGTTGGTATGTATCCAGGTTTTGTTTTCCTGCTGGACTAGTTCGTTCCCTACTCCACTGGTGAGCTAGGAGTTGCTATTCACATCATAAATCGCTCCTTTATCTATTTCAACAGCTGTACTGCAAAATACTTGTAGTCTTTGGTGAAACAGTCACTGAAGATTTTGCAAGGCCATCATGGGATCTGGAATTATTTTATGATTTTGTTTTTGAGTGGCTGCTTCCCAAAGTTCATGTTTTTGCACTGCGGGGAACAGCATCTGAGCTGGCTTTAATGTCTGTGGGTCTGAGATCTGGAAACAGCATGTTATGARGTCCTAGTGTTTCTTAGGATTCACAATGCAGACACAGTTCCCTTCAGACTTGCCCAAGGTCTCATCATTGATTTCAGTGCCTGGAAAGCTATTCTTAAGAATGGTTGGTCCACACTTGGGCCAGAGAGCTTTGTGGTCTGGATGGTCATCCCTGGATAGCCAGGTTGCAAAGGCTCTTCCTCACATTTCCTTTCCTTTTTGTGWGAACRTGTKTYTGCATGACCTGTGCTGCAGTGGGGYAAGTTGGCAACCCCCTTCTCATGTGGTTTCAGTGGCTGTGGTGACCCCCACAGTACTTATATCTGGGAGTATCCTATTGTCTCAGCTGGCTGAGTGATTCCCTAAGCACGACTGGTAACACTGGAGTCGGTGTAAACTGTGGATATCTCTGCACCAGAAATGTCCTTGGCATGACTCTCTGCATACCTAGGGAGGTGTGGTACCTTATATTTTCTATGTGTGCAAATGAATATGTCTTATGCATTACAGTCAAATGCTTTATTTTGTCATCAGCAGGACTTGTTGATCTTACAAGCYTTTYCCAGCCTAAAAACTTCTATAATTCYTTTAGCTTCCCAARGCACCTTTGTGCTGGAAATACAAACCCTGTCGCAGCTCTGCATCCTTCAGAAGGAAGTAATTCTTTCCACTGTGGCTCAGGAAATACAATTAGAAAAAATAACCTAAACTTGATAAAAGCAGGTTTTTTCCTCACTTCTGAGCCACCCACAGTCCCCCTGAAGGATTTGGTGAGGCAGATTGAATCAAAAGCAGAGCACAGTCGGGGTGGCGAGGGSGTTCAGCCACCAGCCGGACCAGAAATGGCTGTGGTGGGCTGTTGTTTGGGCTGTTCTTCTTTGCACTGCCATGCAAGCAGTGACCGAGCAGCTGCCAGGGSTRGGGGGAAGTGGTGGTGTTTAGTGGTGAGATCTCAAGGCAGCTACAGTTTTGATGGCACAGGAAAGKCAGTGATCGTGCTCGTCTGTGGAGTTTTTACACTGCTGGTGTCAGGTGTGAGCACTGTCTGCCCATTCCATCCTGTTGACCCCTAAAAGTTCTAAATTCCACACATTGTATTGAAGTAGCCTTATGCAAGGTAACTTGTCCTTTTTTACCCTCCTAAGGGGAGGAGAGCTGTGCTAGCCCCATTGCTGGGAYAGCTGAGCATCTCTTCGTTCAGGACGGAGACATAAGAAACACTGCCTCCCACACCAGTTTCTCTTTCTGAGGTGTCCCTTCAGCTGAACACATCCTTGTGAGCTCGACTCAGGGCCAAAGCAGACTGTGCCCACCTCTGTAGACCACAAGGATAGAAATGAAATGTGAATCATGCTAGAAGGGCACGAGCCAGGCCTGGCAGGGAGGGCTGTTGGCTGCTAGCCCAGATGGCCACCTCTGGGCTCCCACGGATTAGCTGCTCTTTCAACTAACTCTTGAAAATATTGCTTCCCTTCCTTTTCTTGAGAGGAAAGAGAAAGCACAGAGGAGCTGATGGTGGCATTTGCCATGGCTTGGAGCAGGGGCAATGTCAGCACTTTTATCTGATTCAGTGACCAGCCCTCTTAGGAGCAGAGAGTAAGGCGAGATCACCTGATGATATCCTTCCAACCACTCRACCCCAGACACTTAGCTGGCTTAGTTTGCCATCTGGGAAGGTAAAGAGAAAAAGACATGAGTTCKTTTTTGTCTTCTTGGCCATATAGATCAAGGCCAAGATCAAGATGATTTCTTAGAATCAGAGAGAATGATAAAATAGTTTGTATTAGGGGCACCTTACAGATCATGTAGTTCCATTCCCCCTGAYAGGGGCAGGGAAGCTTCCACAAGACTGGCTTGCTCAGAGCCCCATCCAACCTGGCCTTGAATAGTGACAGGGATGGGGCACCCACAGCCTCCCTGGACAGCCTGTTCCAGTGCCTTCTCACCATCACCGTGAATAATTTCTTCCTTAAATCTTACCTAATTTGTAAAATGTATAGGAGATTTTCTTGAAGAAATGTTTTGGTGTTTTTTTTTCTTTTTTGTTTTTTTTTTCAATCAAGTTTAAATGTGTGGTCAGGTGCCTAATATTTCAAAGTTATATCTGCTTCACTTTTCTGAGGGAAATGAGGTGGCTGCACATTGAATTTCTGATCACTCCTGTGTGCCACCTGCTTGACTGAGATTGCGGTGTTAGTAGCCAAAGCCAGTCAGAAAATGAATGCTCTCTCAATAACAAAACGAAGAAAATATTTTCCATTAAGCCTTTCCACTGAAAGTATCACACTTGAAGGAATATGTGGAAATAATATGACAGGAGAGCAAAGTGCAGCTCTGGTACCTCTGTTAAATGTGATACAACTCGGTTGCTTCCTCCTTCTGTTCCCCTTGCTCGCAGCACTCCCTGGGTAGGCACCACCATCTGCCCCAGTATATTCTGGTCGTACTGGCAAAGCAGTTGGGTAATTCAAGGGGCTTCCCTGCCCTTAGCAGAGCCTGGGAAATTTATTTTGGCTAGGCACCTATATGCTGATATGGAGTAGGGCTGGATGAAAGGAGGGTGTGTCTCTGCTGAGATTTAAACAGAAGTTTTARTCAGCTTCATTAACTGTGGAAAATGTCACATCATTTTTTTTTCTGCAGTTTCCTGAAAAACCTTCATTCAGAGACAGTCTTTTCATAATTGACCTGGTGTACAAATAAAATAACTCAAAAGTTCCCACCTTAAAAAGGGTTTAATATTACTGCCTTTTAGAGTTACGGTAAAGAAGGGGAAAGCACCCAATAATAATCCTCCCAACCACATTATCAGCAATCCTAAGCAATTCCTAACTATCTGAGATRATTGGTCTGTAGCAGTTCCTAATCACAACCATATAAATTGTCTTTCTTTGGCCTTGTCACGAGAAAAACTYACCCAACATCTGACAGTCTTTTTGCTCCATCAGTATTTCCTGTCTCTGCAGGCTGGGAAAATGCCACCCTTTTTGCATTCTGTGAAATCAGCTCTGGCCCTTCCTCTGGGCCTTCTGCACACTTTGCATGTGATGTATTTTTCTGGGTTTTCCTCATGATAAATAAAAGGCCTTTTGTAAGTTTTCCTACATGCAAAAGCCCATGAAACAGTTTTTCTTCCTCTGAAGGCAGTGAGGTTTTGCTCTGTGCTTTGGGAGCTGGATGCTGGGTCTGGCTTTCCCTTCTGGGTTTGCTACCGATGGGAACTATGGCTTCTGGGATTTATTTAGGATGAGACCTAGAAATGCTTTTGCTGAATGCCGCCTGACTGTTCCAGTGTGGTATCCTGAGAAAGAGATGCTGTGTACTTTTCTCTCAAAAATTAAGCATCAGTGCACACATCATATACTCAGGTGTTTACTTTCCCATAAGTTAAATGAGGAAAACACTGCCCCATGTCACAGGGCAAGCAAAGTTTTAGTGAAATTAATGTTAAGGTACCCAAAGCCAGTACAGTGACTCTGATAAACTGTTGACACTGGTGTTAATGTTTCATTGTTTTTCTACTGATTTTTAAAGCTTTTATTCAACTCTACCCTGAATGACAACAAAGCCCTTTGCTGATTGCTCTGTTCTCTAGCAAAGGTGACTTCATCCAGAGGTACCTGAAGCAACCTTAGGAAAGGCAAAAGCTGCCCCTGGGGATGCAGAAAGTGGGGAGACACTGAAAGACAGAAGGGAACTTTTGTATTCATCTCCCTTCAACACAGTAAGAAAAGGAACATGAGAAGTAGTAGATCAGTCATTTAAACATCAGATTCTAGAAGAATCCTGCAATAGGTAATAAAACTTTTTTTTAAATACCATTCCAAAGTAGTGTCAGATGAATAGCATTTTTTTTGTCAATAGGATAATACCACATAGACACTGAATAAGTAGCAGATTTGTAGCTGGGCTTTAGCAAGGGTTTTGGCTCTAACTCGGCACATATCTTATGCTTGAGAGATATGTGACATTGAATAAGCTTCTACAGGGCAGAACAAAACTRAGGGGTAGCCTTGTTCAGAGAGTARTTACAAGTGGCTCACTCCCTCTAAGCCAAAGGATGTRCAAAATCAGGTCTTTCTTGGACTTCTCTTTTGAACATACTATCATTCCATATTTTCACTAGCCCAGATAGTGAAATTTTTGCTAATAAATCATCAATTCACATAAAGCTGGAATCCTTTGCAAATAAAATGGAGAGCAGAATTAAATTTAAAACAATCTTGACAACTTGGAGTACTTGCATCTGAAAAGGTAATTTCAATATGGGAACGCTGAAGGCACTTCAGCAGAAATAGTCAGTGACACACACAGCAGATGAGGAGCAGCCAGCTGGGCAGCATCCCTAGGGAAGTTCATCTGGGCTTGTAGTGGCACAGTGATGGCATTCTGTCACAGAGCACACACACAGGGCACGCACAAAGATGTGTGAACAGAAGCCAGCCTGCAAGACATGTGAAGTGACCTGTTACCTTTCTCAGCATTGACAAAGCCTCAGAGGAATTTCTGCCTTCCCTTTTGGGGCTGTGCATCAAGAGCGATGCAGAATGACAGGAGATTTCAGAGAAAAACAAGCATAATCTATAAAGAGAGAGTGATTAAATTAGAGTTAATGAGTCTAGAGAAGAAAAAGTRGAGAAAAGACATGTCTGTCCTTGAAAACATTAAAGGCATGATCCATTCTGCAGATTCCTAACAGCTATGGCAAGAAAT